AGTAGCGTTTCTTATCCAGGCCATATTTCCTTTCTTTGTGTGCGTCACTATCTACTGGTTCTGCCCCGAGTCACCACGATACATGATCATGAAAGGCCAGAGAGAAAAGGCTCGCACTATGATCTCCAAGTACTTTACTTCCTCTGAAGACCCTAACCACCCATTTGTCGAGACCATGATAGCTCAGATTGATGAGTCCATTGAGACTTCTGCGGTTGGATTCCGGGCTGTATGGGACTTCCGGGTCTTCTTTACCAAGGCTGTCGGCTTCAGAACCTTTGTCCTTCTCCTCTATTCGATCTTCCAACAGTGGAATGGTAAGCTTCCATCGCCAACTCATTGTTATACTTTTTTCTGAGTCTGACTCTTCTCAGGCGGCGGCATCATTGGTCTCTACATGGATCCAGCACTACAAACAATCGGCATTACCAAGAAGCTCGATGTCTTGGGCATCACATTGGGTCTGACTGCCACTTACTTTGTGTTTACTCTCTTTGGTGCATACATTATCGAATATTTCCGGCGACGAACTCTGATCTTTGTGGGCTTGATATGCATTATTATTGCACAGACCGCTGTCACAATTACAAGTTGGCGTGTCAATGCCCAAGGAGACAGATACTTGTCTTATCTCACTGTCGTCTGGATTTATTGTTTCCAAGTCTGCAGTGCGTCTTTTATAGCGACGATGCATAACCTGTACCCGGTCGAACTGTTGTCGCTGCCTTTGAGGGCAAAAGGAATGGCACTGTACACGATGTTCCAGGTATGTCCATTGCAAGAGTTCTGTTCCAAAGACTGACATTGGAAGGGTGCTGCTGGCGTTGTCCACAACTACGGGATCTCAGTGGGTATCTCCAAGGTCGGATACAAAATTTGGGCCGTCTACATTGCCTACAACCTCATCCAGCTTATCGTGGCTTACTTCATCTTCCCAGAGACTGGAAAGCTCAATCTCGAGGAGATTGACCACATTTTTGAAACCAAGAATACTAACCCCACCAAGCTGAGTGTCAAGATTGCAGACGCTAGGTGGGCTTCAATCAAGGAGGAAAAGAGGCGGGCCCGTAACATTCCCACGATAGCTTGATCGTAATCTGCTTGAGACGGATGGCCGCATGTGTCAGTCAAGAAAATTCGCCCAGTTTCAATATCTGGCTTGACATCTCGCAATAGTCAGCAATTAGCGCCTCACCACTTTCCGAGTAACTGGTAGATGATACGCGTATACGCCACTATAAAAGACGATTATCCCCGTCAATGCAGATCACATGCAGTAGCATGCATTCCAAATGTTCTCCTTCCCTTTCCAGCTATAGTTCAGTATGCAGAGCTAGCGGGTGATCTGCACAGTGGATAAATGGCAGAATGGGTAGGCGGGCCGGTAGAAACAACACTTGGCTTTTGCACGCGACAGACGATGGAAGCAGGGAAAATGGCACGCGGCAACGGATGCTGTTGTAGATCGCTCCCACAACCCGAGCTTGCATGAGTTCAGTGACTTGGATCAAGCTCCTCCAGCAAGTGACTCATCGTAGACTCTCAACATGCGCGACTCAATCATTTTGATTCGTGGGTAAATGGCCCCTTCGCCTCAATTATGCAGCTTCCCCTCCCAGTGCAAATGACTGTTAATTATGAGTGGTCAATGTTCGCTTGTGCCAGCCCTTCAATATGTGAATGGAGTTACTATTAGCTACCTGTGAGTAACCTTCAATGTAGCTCACCAATCTCGATTCTTCCTCTTCTTCATCAGCGGCAACACTATCACTGGGCATGGGTTCACAACAATTTGACGAGTCCATTAGAGGTGCCTTACCTCGTGACTTTCTTTGGGGGTTTGCCACAGCAGCAGCCCAAGTTGAAGGCGCGTGGGATAAGGACGGTAAAGGCGTTTCAATATGGGATACCTTTGCCCATACTCCAGGCAAAGTCAAAGATGGCAGTACCGGTGACGATGCTGTCAAGTCTTATGATCTTTACAAGACTGATGTTGAGTGGCTTCGCAAGTACAAAGTCACAGGTTATCGCTTCTCACTCTCATGGTCACGAATCATCCCTTTGGGCGGAAAGGATGACCCTGTCAATGAGGAGGGTGTATCATACTACAATCGTTTGATCGACGAGCTTCTTGCAAATAACATTACTCCATTCGTCACTCTCTTTCACTGGGATATCCCTCAGACTTTGGAAGATCGTTATGGGGGAATGTTAAACAAGGATGCATTCACTCCTGACTTTGTTCGTTATGCCCGGGTATGTTTTGAGCGCTTCGGCGATCGCGTCAAGAATTGGATCACATACAATGAGCCTGGCGTCTATTCCCTTGCTGGCTATGCCGCTGGAGTTCATGCTCCTGGTCGGTCCAGTTTCCGTGACCGCAATGAAGAAGGGGACAGCAGCACGGAACCCTTCATTGTTAGTCACACGGAACTTGTGTCGCATGCGTACGTTGCCGATATGTATAAGCGCGAGTTCAAACCCAAGCAAAAAGGCACCATCATGATTACCCTTCATGGCAATTGGTCTGAGCCATGGGATGTCGATGATTCATTAGACCAAGAAGCAGCGGAACGAGCAAGAGAATTCGAAATCGCCTGGTTTGGCGACCCTTTATATAAGACGGGAGATTATCCAGAGTCTATGCGTGCACAACTGGGTGACCGTCTCCCAAGGTTCACACCTGAAGAAAGCAAGCTTGTACTGGGAAGTTCAGAGTTTTATGGTATGAACTCATACTCAGCCTTCTATGTACGTCATCGTGACGGACCAGCTGATATTAATGATCATCTGGGCAATGTCGAGAAGCTTGATGAAAATAATAAAGGTGAATGGAGAGGACCTATGAGCGACACATACTGGCTACGGGCCACTCCCTGGGGCTGGGCTAAGCTGCTCCGCTGGATCTGGAACCGCTATGGCATACCAATCTACATAACTGAGAATGGTACCACGGCGCAGGGTGAGCACGACTGGAAGCCAAACGGCCCTGATGATGTCTTGGAAGACTCCTTCAGGGTTGACTTTTACAAAAGCTACCTCACAGAAGTCGCCAAGGCATCACAGGAAGGTGTTGTGATTAAGTCGTACTTTGGATGGACATTCACGGATAATTGGGAGTGGGCTGCTGGTTTCTCGGATCGGTTTGGGGCAACGTGGATTGATTTTGGGTCTGAACATAAGACGCGGTATGCTAAGAGGTCTGGGTACTTCCTTGGGGCGTTTTTCAATCATCTCATTAGCACGGATTGAGATAGTAACCCTTTCAAGCTTTTTAGTGTATAACCTGATCGCAGCAGGTGGCCTGATTCCAAATCAAGCCCGCGAGATATTCTTCTCAACTGTATGCTAAAGGGGTCTCGAAGCACTGCCTGCATTCCAGGTGGCTGGAATGTGGAAGACTGTAACACAAAGAGTAAATGCCTCCCTCGCAAGCCTTCAGCCACAAATGGGCCGCCGCCGACCCATATTTTTACGACTGGGCGGCCAAGTCTTCTATGATAACATAATCTCTTAGCCAAAAGTCGCGTATCATGAATTAAGCCGCGCAGGCAAACAGCAGGATCTGGAGACATGGTCATGCTTACGATAGTACTGGAGGGAATTGGTTCCTTGTCATAATAGCTAGCCAACTAGCAAAACGCACGACATGGCCAAGACGCATGAACACTGTCCTCCTTGTGGCGCCAGCAGATAAGGCCATACCTCAAGGTTTTGCCAGAACTATAGTCTTTCTCCGTTTTGGTGAAACCGGCCGGAGTCGCCGATCGGGCTTGAAAAGAACGGCATAGAAATTACTTTGGGATTTTTACTGACAGATTTAGCAGTAATCCCCTGTCTCGCTCTGCAGCTAGTCTCTTTAAGTACTTCACAAGTAATAAATAAGGAACTTTACTATCTAGTAATAAGACAACAATATAGGGAGTGAAAGGTGCTAGACTCTTAGTTCTGATAACGTCGAGATCTAGACTCTTAGTTCTGTTAGCCTGGTTTGGTACTTAAAGCTGATTTCAGAATATAAGGTCTTTTTAACCGCTTTAAGTTAATATTAGACTTAATAGAAATAGTTCTAGGCTCTTCAATTTCAGCAAGTATGACTTTAACATTCCATAAGATACTGTAATTAGCATTCTAGCTAAATATATATAGACTCTTTCTCAAAGTAAACTCTACTCTGTATTGTGTTCGATTTTATTTAACATTTATTTCATATTTTATATTTCTTAAAATGGACTTATTAAAGAGAGTCTTCATACTGATCTTTATTACATCAGTATGTGCCTTTCCAGCTATTGATATGGTTGAAAAAGGAGACTATCTAGAACCAAGAGCAGGTATATACACACAGTTGGATTAACATAACTTAGCTGACATTGGATTTTCTCTGTAGGGCTATTTTGCAAAGCTTCAGATCCAGATAATAAAGCTTTTCAGAGCAATGCAGTTGCTGGATCTGCATTTTGCTCAACCTACATTCGAAAAACAACAACTACCACTGTAACTCCTACTACAACAATCACTTCCACTCAGACGGCATTATCAACAGCTACTGCAACTGTTTTCACTACCATTTTGACTACAACCTCTATCAGCATCTTTACCACCTCAACAAAAAAAGGGTCAACTTTCATCACACTAACCAAAACTGCCCTTGTTACTAATACTGAAGTTAAGACATTTACAGCCCAGGCAACAAAGCAAGTCACTAGTACTGTAACAAAAACAACGCCCATAATAGTTACATCTCATAGCAGCAAGACCGTCACTATAGCAGCTACAACAACTGCAACAATAAATATTAACACTACGGTAACAAAGCTTGTGACCAATTCCCTTACCAATGTTGTTACTGGCACAACTACCGTTTGGGTCACGTAAGTACATCCAATACACATTGCTGTTTGAAGCTAATAACTACTTGCCTAGCACTACGTGAGTTTGTGCCGCATTGAGTTTATCCGATCTTGTAATTGACCATGAAAAGGGCGTCCGCTCCAGTCATGACCTTGGCCCCAAGTATGTTCTTCCAATCATAGTGATTTATCTGATAGCTGATTGACATTTCAGACACGGTGTACTGTAGAATCACAGGCTACGCGAAATCCTCTGAATATATGCTTTTCCAACTAAATCAATTTCCCGATGCTAGCTTCTCTACCTGTAAGAGCTTCTGCTTAGCCCAACAGGAAAACATTCCTGTTTATAGTTTTGGCTTTACTTCTCATGCTTGTTACTGCTATAACGAGCCAGTGTAAGCACATTTATTTTAAACTAACCTCTAATTGTTACCGTTGTAACTAAATAATTTTAGATTAGATGCAGTTGACCCCGACTCGGACCTGGTAGCTATAAATTATGATATGTCCTGTGATTCTGCAGACGAGGTTAGTAAACCCTTTTAATACAGAGACAGCCAGAAAACGTTAACTTTTCTTAAGGATAACTCCCAGCCTGTCAAGCGGGGATTCCAGGAGCGTGCTGTCAAGGCTACACCCGTCCCAAGCTATCTGCCAAATAAAACGCCTAGTGTCGTCAGCAGTGCCTGTTCTTGCTTAATCACCAAACCTGCTTCTCGTCAGACCTTGACTGTTTTTGATAATCCTACAACTATCGAAACCACGATGACGACAACGAAGGTGGTGACGGTCAACAAGAAGAAGACTACTCTTGCTACTACACGTCAGACTGTTACTTCAACAGTGTTGACCACTTTGATAGCGACAGGAACTCAAACTGCAACCAGAACTCAGCATACAACCAGTACTATTACCAAGCCGGTTACTGTGTTTATTACAAACTTCAATACTGTTACTGTAATACAGACTTCTGTCTCTTCCACAGTCAAAACTGATACTATCCCTATTACGAAGGTCAATACTGTCCCTTGGACTCGCCTTAGCACTATTTTTGTTACCAATGGAGTCACCACTACGGTCATTCGAACTGCCACGTCCCTGCGAACCGTCACGTCTACTTTTACGCAAGAAGGATCTATCAGTACTTATGTCGGCGAAATCACAATCTGGGGCACAGTAGAACCCAATACCACGACGGAAGATGCTACAACTACAAGTTCGAGTATACGGTCGATTATACCTTCTCCAAATTCATCTTTTAGCACGTCTATGGAGACACCAGGCATAACTCCAAGTTTGAGTACATCTATGAGCAAAGCTGCCACAACTCCAGGTCCGAGTACGTCCACGACTACTCCGAGTTGGAAGCTGCTGGACAACAATGCTGCGGCCGCCAAAATTGTGGTTGACGGCCCCAATCTCTATGAGCTCCATACATCTGGTTTTATCTGGACCTACACAGGTACTCCCATCACTGGTTGGCGACTATTGGACAACAAGGCTTCAACCACCAAGATTGCCGCCTCAAAAGGTAATCTCTACCAGCTTCGCAATACTGGGGAGATTTTCAAGTACACCGGCACTCCAGTCACGGGCTGGCAGTTGATAGACAATAACGCTGCCGCTCTCGATATCGTAGCCAGCGGTAACGACCTGTACCAACTCCATAAATCAGGTTTCATCTATAAGTATACAGGCACTCCTGTAACTGGATGGCAACAGTTGGGCAACAGCATGGATACTAAGAAGATTGCCGCTTCCGGGGGAAATCTCTACCGGCTTGACAATGGCGGCCTTATCTGGAAGTATAATGGAGTGCCCCTCACTGGATGGGATAAGCTGAGAGCCAACTCAGACACCACCGATATTGTGGCACGAAATGCTGATCTCTATGAGCTTGATAACTCTGGAAGTATTTGGCAATATACTGGCGTTCCGATAACCGGCTGGAGGCAACTAGATAACAACTTTCGGACAAAGCAGATCGCAGTCGGGGCTGGGGGGTTGTATCAGATTCATAACACCGGAAACATCTGGCAATATACCGGCACGCCCATCACTGGTTGGAAGCTACTGGATGGAAACACTTCCTCCACCTACATCACGGCAGGAGACTCACTCTACCAGCTTCGCAACACAGGTTACATTTTACAGTACACTGTGTAGGTTCATCAATCAGGGGGTCGATGGTCGAGCCAGTATTCCGTATCGAAAGTCGAGGTTCAGGTGGCTGTTCATTATCGATCGGCGAAACACAGCCCAAAGCGGAAATGAGGGACTTGGTGGAAAGACATTCGCTTGGAAGAAACATGTCGGTAGAGGACGGACTAAGTAGATACTGCAATGGATAAGACTGTGCTGCGCGCAGCCGGTATTCTCACCAGACCGCTCGTTAAGCCGTTCATTTCATCACTCTTTATTGATGTTGTTAAGCCGAACGCATTATGTTCAGGATGCAAATTGTCTATCCGTATTGAAAGGCACCTATTTGGTGGTGATACCTTGAATCTACAACCATTTTACATACCCATCTGCAGGGTAGGTAAAATAGCGACGGACACCGAGAGTGAGGAACGATGGCGCTACGCCACTGTAATTTAGTGTTAATCACCAGCCGTGATTCCTATTACGCTGGCCTCTGCCAGCTGCATCTAGTTAGACCATTCCAAAGCAATGACACCTCGGTGTAACGATTTATCTTGAATTTCTCAGAAATACCTTGTAGTTATAGATGTAATTAAACATGAGATACTATGTTTTGTATTCCCATTTACTTGCCAGGTCCAGCCATAACCTCGCGCAAAGTTTAGTTTCTTAAAGAGTCTTTCGAGGCTCCAACGTCATGTTCGGTACCGAACGCCGCCTTATCTCACTAATGACCTCCGCTGGCGCTTGGAATGTGTTTGCATTTGGCATCAAATCTTCTGGACACAGTTGTGAACGCCACACAAGCCTTGACGCGTAGATGTGATATTATTTCCGTGCCAGCCCTCATGCCCCCATCTTGCTTTGATCCAACCCTTAGAAGCACGAGAATGAATGACCCTTGAATGCGACTAGCTTCAGCGAAGAAGCACAATGCTTATATCAGTCGGAATAGTGTGTTCAATGTCCCCATCTATTCGGTAGCCGACCACGTTATACTGACATCGCGACAGGCCATCCAAGCAGTGTTGCTGGGATTATCACTCTTTACAGTTATCCTTCGCTGCTGGACCAGGCTTTACTATGAGAGAAAGAAGCTCTCTCTTTCTGAGTACTTTGCATGTATGGGCTGGATCTTCGCTTTGGGATGGTTCATAACTTCGACACTCTCTATGCTCATTTTGGTCCATCATCCCCCAGATGGCCCAGATGGTCTTATCCCCAGTGTCGAATATCAGAAGGTTAGTGACCTTGAAAGCTCTCGACGTTGTAAGCTCACTCATTCTTGATTCTAGACAGTCTGGGTAGCCGAATACTTCTTTGACACAGGAATCTACTGGCCGAAACTCTCTATCCTCGCCTTCTATTGGTATCTTATACCGGATGTGTTCCAATCTTTGAGAGTCGCCCTATATGCAATAACGGCGTACCTGGTTTCTTGTATGACAACATCTATTCTACTCAACACTCTGATAGCGAGACCTATATCAGACAATTGGTAAGTCTGACAAAATCCAGTTGATTGTGTTGAAGTTTCTGGTTAACAACTTCAGGTCTGTTGAGAACCAACTGAACTCCGCCTGGAACTCCCTGCCCAATTTTCTCACTCAATGGTGTTTGAACTTCTCGACGGATCTGATCTGTACGTTCATGTTTCTGGTCAAGACTTTCCGAGAAGACAAGAGTAGACTAACAAGGGCCCAGTGTTCTGTTTCCCATTCTTCATTCTCAAACATCTGACCTTGCGCACTGAGCAGAAACTTGGTCTTGTCGGCGTCTTTTCCCTTGGTGCAATTACGATGTCAGCTAGCCTTGCCCGCTTCATCATCAGCAACGCAGCGGATTATCAGCTCGATTACCCATCTGGCAGTAGGTACACGCTTGAATGATTTTGATAGATACTAACTGTGCCAAAGATGCTCTCTGTATGGCCGAAATGGCGACTGCAGTTATTGTTGTCTGCCTCCCTGGCCTGAAGAAATTGATCATGCGATCGAGATCATCTACCAACACGGCGAGTCAAGGGTTCAACTCGAACCAGTCAAGCTCAGGCCACTCTTCGAATATGACGGCGTCCAAATCGAGGACTGCATCGCAGGCTTATGCGGAATGGGGTGTCATGGACGATGAGATTGAGCTGCCTAGCCATCCCCAAAAATCTCATTTGCCTGGAGAACTGCAGGATGTGGGAAACCTGCTGTAGTATCACTTCAGACATGTAGGCAATAGCAGCAAGCGATAATATTATATACTAAGAAGTGCCTTTGCTATCAATCTCGTGCACAATAGAAGCGACATTCAAGCACGCCGTTTCCGTCCGAGTCTTTTCCTCACGGTGCTTTGGAATACAGCACCTGCCCATCCTTCTTAAACCCTGCAACTACATTCTGCCCCTTGTCGCTAACAAGCCACTTGATAAACACGGCTGCCTCTTTACCATTAGGTGCCTTTTCACCAATCAACGCATGAGCGGGATTCAGTAATGGGTCGTCCGCGTTATCAGTGCCCGCTTTGTAAACAACAGTCTGATTCCTGAGGTCTGCGTCAAGGGACAAGATGGTGCCACGGTCGGTAATGGTGTACTCTTGGAGGATAATCGCAGCTGTGAGAGCTTGGATCGGAAAAGCAATGTATTGGTGGTACCATGTTGAGTAGGCAGTCGCCCAAGGAACTTGTCCTATGCCGGCCCATAGCAGAGTCTCTTTGATGTTGGTAGCAGACTTGTCATAGCGGCTCAGGAACCGAACAGGAGGCTCAGTAGCAGGGCCTTCAGCTGCTTCGTGGAGATTTGCGAACGTGGTCATTATGTCATCGCTTTTGGAGATATTTGCGGGATTCTCTTTGGGCCCGACCAGAAGAAAGTGGTCTCGGAAAGCGTAGTAGCTTGGACTTTTGGCGATGCCTTGTTTGATGGCAATCTCCTCTGCAGCTGGGTTGTATGTAATGCCGATATCAGCCTCGCCCGTTTTGAGATACTGAATGCTGTAAAAGGTGTCGCTTTTGATCCATCCCACCTGGAATGGCTTCTCTCCGTCTGCAACGCGCTTTTTGATATATGCATTTGCAAGCTCTGGCCATCCGCTTTAGCATGGTCGAAATTATTGGGAGAGAGAGTTTACCCTTGATCAACCCGCTCTGGCCAGCACCTCCGTTGGCAATAAGCAGCTTAACAGTGTCATTCTTATTATGATCAAAGCCACCTCCATAAACCGCGTCGGGTGTCACAGCCAAACAGCTGCCGGCGAGAAAAGAGACAGCAAGTAAATAATATCTCATGGTTGGCCTATTGATGAAGGTAACTGAGCTGGCGCGAAGCAGAAAAGTTTAGAAATTTGATTAAGTCATGAGGGGGGAGACGGCATTTAAATTATTGGCAGTAGTGGTAACTAAGGGCGCCATGCAGGCCTCAAAAGATTACAATGTCTCGCTTTTTCAGCTGAGACTATTAATTTGGTAACCATGGTACCGGCGCTACTGTGGAAACTGGAAAGAGATCTACTTCGCATACGTTTGAGATCAACATTCCACTGGTTGGTTTTGTTGATCTATGGGGCCGTGTTGACAACGCACTTGGGATGTAGTAAGCACTAAGAAGCTGAGCATCCTAGCATCCTTGTTGAATTGGCGTCCAGCTGAGGTTAAAGTAACGATTGATCGCCAACTAAAACCAATCTATTGGAACAGTAGTGGGGCAGAAATGAACACAACCTCCCAGACCGCTTATCCACTGCTGATCCTATTTATCTACTGCTAAGTGTTTCTGAAGTGAATACATTCCTGCCTATAGACAACAATACCCATGGGGATGGCTATGATATTGACGATGTGCATGCCAATTCGGCTGATGCTCTTTTTGGTCTGGAACCCAAAACCTCTCAGACTCTACACCATCTTTCCCAAATGCGAAAAGCTCTATGCCGTAAGTTATACTCAATGTAGTAGCTACGGATTCCGCTTTTTAGACGAGGAATCAATGCAATTGAAATTTTTTGCGGTTCATAAAGGATGTACAGAAGGCGAGAACAGATACCTCGACTGTATCCCTGGAGGCAGGAAGGATAGTTCCTATTTGTATATGTACCTTCACCAAGATGGAGGCGTGCACTATTCCCAGACTCGTGGTTCTGGGCGCCGTGTTGACAGACTATACAGCTGATAGCTCATACTAACAGACTGTAATAACTGTGCATTTATCTGTATAAGGATATTATACAGTATATTAATGGTTCTCAATATAGACAGTTAGCTTTGATACAAGAATTTACCCTGATCGACCTGCAAGAGGTTTATTGATTCCTCACAACGAAATCAGGCGCTGAAAATATGACCAGTAGTCATTACTGGTCCTACTTGGCTACCTTCTTAGTATATGGGCTAAATGCAACGATGCTTTAAATTACATCTTAGACAACTGGATAGAAGCAATGCTTAATGCTTTTAAGAATACTTACTACCTTGTGGGCATATTGCAATAAAGAGACTTGCACGCCTTATATTGCTATTTCCCAATAGCCTTTTGTCTACTGTCATGTTGTAAAAGTGACTCAGTCAGATCCTTAGTACTTAATAAGTGATAACAATACTTGGAAACTCTTGGCATTAGTCTAGGAAGACATTTTACTAGCTATTTTGACCTAAATTGAAGATCTCGGGTTTGGTTAATCCAGGGACGTAATGATAATAAGCTATTACATCACGTTTAAGCAAACTGAGATGCAGGAAGATAACCAGCGCCACTTATATATTAAGTTAGCTGGTACTCTTTGGTTTATATCTCTGTTATAAGCAGGACTTATTTAAATTTTGATATTGGCCTATTTATCTACATGTATTGTACTGGTCTGAATATTAACAAAAGGATACCATAGATTGCATGCATGGATGACTTCCCCGCCTTTCTTCCACCTGCGTCATTTTTTTTTCTTTTTTCTATCTCTCAACATTGCAGTTCTTAAAAGACGCCGACGATGACCGGCAGTAAACTGAAATCAACAATGGAAAGAATGCCTCTTGCGACTACGCTTCCTTTATCCTTTCACAGTTTTCCCAATTTACCATTTGAATTGCGTCTAAGAATCTGGCGCTACTCTTTTCTTCCCCGCTGCGTTGAACTTCATGCCCGCAGATCACATTACGCCGACAACTTCCAACACGGAGGTGTGCCAAAATGGCAAAGTCGATGTTACAATCCCGCCCTATTGTCAGTTAATCTTGAGGCGAGATTTGTCGCACTGGACTATTATCGCGTCAAACTACCCCTTGCAATGATTGCGCCTTATGAACATGCTGGCGATGACATCAACGACCCAGATCGCGTGTTGTACATTAACCCCGCCGTCGACACCGTCGCTGTACTGGGTGATCTAGACTACGGCAGAATCTCACGACTGCTAAAAGGCTTGCGAACCAGTGATCCGGAGGGACAAGGTCTGCAGAAATTCGCTGTCAGCGCCAGCTGGACGTATCATCAAGGAGCTGGTGACACGATCAGGATGTTAGCCAAGCACATGTTTCCCGAGCTAGAAGAGATGACTGTGTTTATGTACGATGAGAAAATGCCTCCTGCGGACTGGACTGGTGGAACGTGTGAACTGCAAGATTGTAACCATACAGACTATTACAAGCGGTATGCAATGGGAAGAGGCCAACAAATGAGGGATGGCGATAGATGGATGGTTATTGGGAGAAAAGAGCTGAGGGTAATGGAGCTGAGGTTTAGGCATGGATGGTAATGGACGTTGATTGATGGCCAGGTAAAGCCTAAAGGCGTCGTAATGAGATATATCAGGTCGATATACTAAAGAGTCCCAATCAATCCCAGCTTTTAGACGGCAATTTGTATATGGCCTCAATAAAGACAAGTTTCTCAACTTGACACAGAATAAGAGACTAACACGACTCTTACTACTATCCCCCAATAGCCTTTTGCCAGATCTCACATTGCGAAAGTGACTCAGTCAGAGCCTCGATGTTCTCGTCTTTCGTTCCATTAACATCAATCTGCAGATATTAGGATATTTTCCTCAGTCAAGAGCAGTCCGAAACTCACAGATATCGAGATACCAGGTTTTCGATACTCTTGCTCGACAGGTAGAGTCTCCAGCTCATACTCAGTGAAGCGCTTCTCGAACTTGTCTACACTGTCGTTAGTATCTCTGCCACGTCTAAGATATCTGGCTCTGGCGTTTTGTTTTGTGATCTGAAATGAGAATACGAGATCCGGCTTGATAACGAGGCTGATCTTGCCATCGTCGCCGGGAGTGAGAGGCACCGTGTCCTGGAAAGGCCATGTCCCAAAGGAGTCCAATTGGTCAATGCATCGTGGATATCCGTCGACCAAGATGCCCTTCACCTCTGGTTCATTGCGATTGATTGCATCGAGAATTTCGCGGTAAATGAAGGGGTTGAGATCCTCAGAGGTCAGGAAGCCTTGATTGTCAAGTTTGCTCTGAATCTTGGCGGCGAGTTCGGTGGAGCGATTCAGGCGCATCCAAGCACGCAGGCCATCACCAACCGAGTAGTGCACGAGGTTGTATTTCTGCGCGAGATATGCCGACAGCGTTCCTTTCCCCGCACCGGGAGCGCCTAAGTTAAAGCAGGGTCGGGTCAGAAGTGGCGAATGAGATAAGTGGAGGGCAGAAATGACTGTACCAATGATGAACACGATGGCAAAGCTGCGGCTCTTGCCGCCCGATTTGGCGTGGAGCTTCATTTTTGTTCTGTTAGTTTGATGATGGCGGTGTTGGGCTGTTGTTGAGGCATTAATCTTATCGTGACACAAGCTCGAGTAACACAAACGCAACCCAATTGACAGTGAATCATTACCATCTACTTGAGGTGATGGCGGGGTCACATGCGGGGGTTGCAAACGTCCAGACTTCACTTCTGTACACAGGATCCATTCACCAGTCGAACATATTCTTATAGACCAAAGACAGGGAACAATCTGGCTCGACTCTTGAGTGTTTCTCATTAGTCACAAATCCTCCAACAATGGCGCTTCTTTCACTTGTCGGCGATCTGCAGCTCTTGTATCGCTTTGTCATTCTTGCTATTGGTGTCTTGGGTATTGGCCGGATCATCACATCCCGAAAGCAGTCCAAGGCAGTAGTCACTACGCAATCGTCCAAAAGCTTCACCAAGGAATCCAACGTTCCTGTTTCGGTCAACTACTTTCCTTCACGAAAATGCAACTACACCTGCGGATTCTGCTTCCATACCGATACCTCATCCTACGTCCTCCCGGTCGATGAAGCAAAACGCGGCTTGAGACTCCTGAGAGAAGCTGGCATGCAAAAGCTCAATATTGCTGGTGGCGAGCCATTCCTCTACCCTCGTTTTCTGACAGAATTACTCCAGTTTGGCAAGGAGGAACTTGGCCTCGAAAGCATCAGCATTGTAAGCAACGGCAGCAAGATTACAGAGAAATGGATGCGTGAGAATTGCCAATGGCTGGACATTCTTGCAATCTCATGTGATTCTTTTGATCCCGAGACGAACAAGAATATTGGACGGGGCGACGATGGAGGCAATGTGATCCGGCTCTTCCGCATTGCGGAATGGTGCAGAGACTATGGCATCAAGTTCAAGTTGAACACTGTTGTCAACATCCATAATTGGAATGAGGACATGTCGGCTGAAATTGAGAGACTCGCACCTTTTCGATGGAAAGTGTTCCAGTGTCTACTCGTTGCTGGGGAGAATGAAGACGCGACCCGACTGCGAGATGCGAGAACCTTTCTCGTGACCGACCAACAATGGAAGACTTTCTGCGACCGGCATAAACATCTTCCGTGCTATGTTACAGAAGATACAAATGCCATGGCGAGCAGCTACTTGCTCCTGGATGAGTATATGTGCTTTTTGGACAAGGGCGAGGGCATGTTGACAAAGAGCGAATCGATCTTGAGAGTCGGCGTTGAGAAAGCAATGAGTCAGGTTGTCTGGGACAAGGGATCTTTCCTTGAGCGTGGTGGCATTTATGACTGGAGCAGATCTGATATGGTGAAGGAAAGCGGTTGTAGCGGCGGGAGTAATGAGAAGTTGCAGTGGTAATAGTCAATCGCATTCGACGGGCTGAGGAGTCAACCTCGGAAAGGATGATAGTGTCGGAAACCGTATCAGCGCTGGTGATGAGCGTAAACACGAGCGAGCGATGAATATGATTCGTCCTCGCATAATCCTTCCTCGGTTGGCCTAGCGGCTCATTTCACAGCGTGATTCCTTATCTGGCTTAAGCTTATCCTGTACCACATGACAGCGCCTCCGCACTCGCATTGAGATATCGGCTTCGTCTATCATGTCAAACGCGGGGGACGAGTTGGTATAAGTCATCAAAAACCCCTACCAAACCGTTATCTTGCACAACGCGGGTCAGCTTATATAACTCGTATGACTTTCCCCACGGATCAATCTGCCTCATGAGACAGATTCTTATTCACCCTCCTGTACTACCATCATTTTAGTCATTATGCACCGCGACACAGATCAGCCGAGTCTCAAGTCACAAGATACCAAGGAGGTCTCTGAAATGCCATCCAAGACAGACAGAGATGCTGTTGAATGCGGATCAATTTCTCCTGGCGGTGTCACCGTCCAGACACTGAAGCCGTTCACGACACTATCTGCTCTTGGTATTGGCTATGGCACAACCAACACTGCCGTTGGACTACTTCTCGTCCTTGGAAGTACTCTCCCAATGGGTGGAACACCTCTCTTTTTCTGGGGGTTCCTCGTCATGGCGGGAGTTGGCCTCGCCACAGCTACAACATTGGCAGAGCTCGCATCGGCCATGCCTCATCCCGGTGGACAGTATATATGGGTCAATCGTTTATCCCCGCCCCGATATCGTCGCTTTCTGTCATACACCATCGCTGTTGTCAGCTGGCTTGCCGCTGTTGCTACAGGTGCATCGGCATGTCTATCAGTACCTACAGGCTTTTGCGCCATCATCTCTCTGCTCAATCCCAACTTTGTGTACAAGCGTTGGATGGGATTTGTTGGGTTTCAGCTGTTGAACATCTTGACCGTCATTTGCGCCAGTTTTGAGCACGCGCTCCCACGAATCTCCAAGGTCATGCTCCTCTTTAGCTGCATAACGATTGGTGTTATCTTCATCACGCTGTTTGCCATGTCTGACAGCCACGCTTCTGCGAAGGACTATTTCACAACCTCGGTTAATATTTCAGGTTGGCCAAAAGGAATTGCCTTTATCATCGGGATGAATGGTGCCAATTGGAGCTTTTCGTGCCTCGATGTTGCTACACACTTGGCTGAAGAAATGCCATCGCCCAGCACCGACATCCCCAAAGCTCTGATGTGGACTATCGTTGTCGGATTTGGATCGGGGCTCTTGGTTGTGACCTCGGTTCTCATCAACGTACCAACCATAGATGGAGCCGCGGATAACTCAGCTCTTTCTCTATTTTACATTATCACCAAGAGCAAAGCGGCCGCCGTCGGTTTGTGGGTTCCTGTTCTTATCACAACGGCTGGCGCGGTTTGGTCAATCCAGACATGGCAGTCCCGCCTTGCTTGGACCATCAGCCGCGAAGGTGGCTTTCCGTTGCATCGCCATCTCAGCAAGCTTGCGCCTGCTCCTTTTCATACCCCCATCTGGTCGTTGATCTGGTCTGCATCCGGAACTGCTCTCTTCGGCTGCCTCTATCTCGGGTCGGATCTTGCCTTCAACTCTCTGATCTCGACGGGCCTGTTGCTCCAATACATTAGCTACAGTGTCCCCGTTGTCTTGGTCCTTTTGCAAGGACGAAGTAATTTTCAACATGGCCCATTCTGGTACCCCAAGCTTGGACTGATTGCCAATGTTGTCATGCTGTCATGGACAATGGTGGCTCTTGTGTTCTATTGTTTCCCTTACTACACGCCCGTCACAGCTATGCAGATGAATTATGCTTCCCCAGTCTTGGTCGGTATTGCTCTTTTGTCTTTGTGCTTTTGGTTCTTCCATGCCAAGAAGAATTATGAAGTAAAGGAGATTTGGAATGCCTGAGGAGTGCATGGAGTAGATGATATTTAATTGATGTTTTGGTACACTGATAAGTGCCCCCATATTTGTAGACATTTCAAATTCAACGATTCGGTCGCCCACTGTTGAACATTTTTTTGTGCCGCCTGTGCCAGTAATACATTGATTGACCAAGAGCCATGAATCTCTGTAATGTCAAATATACAGAAGTTAGTTCTGTATTTGTTTCACTTCCCTAGAGGCGCTAAGTCATATGATCCGAGTTCTGGAGCTGGCTAGTACAGGCACTAACTGACTTATCTAAAAAGCGGGGGAATTCACTGGCTTCATCTTGTAACATCCTCCCCTTGTCACACCCTTATCTCTTCTCCCTTCAATTCTACATTGAGCTACCAAATTTCTCACGCGGGCTGATGATGCAGCAATCAATCAAAACACCACACTCCAAGTCTCGCAATGGTTGTCTTAGATGCAAAACAAGAAAGGTAAGCACACCCAAAGAAATGCGCGCCCTCCAACTCACGTCTTGAGAGGTTAAATGCGACGAGAGGAAGCCAGCGTGTACGCGTTGTGAGGACCAAAACTACGAGTGTCCAGGATATGCACTCAATGTGCGTTGGTCACAAAAGCATCAGACAAAGCTGAACACTGGCGAGAGCTCTTTGCGACAAAAGAAGGCAAAGAGTCGTACCACCGCTTCTTCCAATTCAGTAGTCGAAGGCTTTCACCAGATGAACGGATGGCTCGATCCCGCATCTCAGCTGGACTTCCTCATGCCGGCAGAGATATTCAGTATCGACAATCTATCCCAAGACATCCTGGGAGTCGAATCCTTGCCGCGAATCAACAACAATAACATACTAGGCTCCCCTGGCGGGAATTTGACAGTCTGGACTCTTCCTGAGGACTCAGGGTCAACATTCGAGATTGAAGAACCAATGGGAGTGATGGGGCAGTCATTTGGCGACTCCGCGAGCCATCCAGTCTTTCAATCTCTGAACCCAACGCAGGAAGAACAATCTCTCGTCCAGGCTCGACATCCATGCCTTGACCCGCAACGACGCATGTCCAACACCCCAACCACTCTATCTGAATACTTTTTTCGCGAGGTCATTACTCTTTACTGTTCTTGGGACAGCGAACTCAATGTCATGCGCAATATCATCGAGAAAATGTGGCAGTCTTCTGGAGTGCTCTATCACACAATCCAGAGCATGGCTGCAGCATGCTTGTCAAAAGACTTCCCGCACCTGCTACGAGTTGCTCGTGAGGAACGTTCACAAGCACTTCAGCTTGTGAGAGATAGATCTCAAGAGATGGAGAAGCAGGTAATGCTGCTTGCATCCATGCTTCTTGGCCATACCTCGAGCTGGCTTAGCCCTCACAACCTTGCAACTGAGAACTTTCGAGCAAGCCAAAGCATACTGGATGAGATCGCCACCGAGAACAGTGACAGCTCGGAAATGTCCTTCTTCAGAGACACCATGGACTATTGGGCCATGCTTCTGGTCTATCTCACGGATAAGAACGAGCTAGGAGGGTACCATCGAGAGGAGCGGATTGGACCACCAAATGTAACGAAACCAGTCGAACCACATCCCTACTCTGGCATCTCGCAAGATATGGTTCGCGCACTCACTGATACAGGGATACTCATATTCCAATACCGGAAACACATGTCCACCATGAAATTCATGACTGAAAGCGATCTTGACGTGTTCAGAACTGCATTGCGTGAGGGTAGACGGCTGGAACGCACATTTTTGGCACACCAAGTGCCAAGCGCAGTCCATACCAAGAACCCTGGCGATCCAAAGACACCACTGAGACATTTAGAGCTTATGGATGAAGCGTATCGATGTACAGGGTTGTTGCAGCTCTACCGCGTCTTTCCCGACCTTTTGAACGAACGGTACTCACCTTGGGACAAGGATCACATTTTACGGCCTTTACCAGCACATCAAGTGCCAACAAAAAAGGAAAGACAGCAGTGGCTAACGCATTTTGCTCTGTATATCCTTGGTATACTGGAAGACATTCCGTTTGAGTCAAGGACTCGCAGTGCTCAGCCGTTTGTTATGGTTGCCATATCCGGTGAACTCAGACAGAATTCTCACGACCTTCAAGGATCTGAAGTCTCTATCACAGATCCCGGGCTGCTGAGCATTGATGTTTTGTCTATTGAAGTAGCCCGTGCTCGGAAATTTGTTAGTTCTCGGCTGTCAGCATATACACACATCTTGCCCTTACGAAAGAGCCAAATTATTTTAGAGCTCATTAATCAAGTTTGGTCGGCAATTGATGATGGACAGGATGATGCTTACTGGTTGGATATTGCTTATGAGAAGAATTTGGGCACAATGATGGGGTAGTGTGCTTGCTGATTGAAGGTCAGGTCGAGCGAGTTTACGACTTGATAATAATAATTATATTGCTATGCTGCTAATTGGCTGCATCTCTCATCACTATGTTATGATGCTATAATCTATTCTATTTTACTAGCTACCATTTTACAATTTACCCTCCTTTGCACCGCTGGGCAGAACGATCTTTGCAAACTTGAGTAACGTTCGATCAGCTGTGAGTCTGTTCTGGAGACGTTCCTCCGTGATGAGGAATGCGCCAGGAAACCAGCCGCTGACATCGTCGCCAAGTATCATTTTTACCAACGCCTCTCCCGTCAGCCAGCACTTGTCCATTCCATACCCGTTGAATCCTGCAGCTATCCACTGTCCATCGTCACCAACTGTGCCCGTCACAGACTGGGGTATCTTGCCGACGATAGGAAGTCCATCTGCTGTATGTCCTTGAATGCCTGACCAGATAGACTCGATCTCCGAAACGGTCTCCGATCCCCAGCCATCGAGAAACAACTTCGGTAAAATAGTAGAGAGTGCCTGCCTTGCCTCTTGAGGGACATAAGTATCATCTGCAGTTAAAATATCCTTCATATAAGCCGTCTCGTTCCCGATCCAGATGCTTCTCGTAAGGGGGTTTTGCTGCAAATAATAGAGGCCGGTGTCGAAGAAGCCAGTTTCTGCATCCAGGGTTGACTTGTGAGACAAGCTCC